TGATGGACTCTTACTCTTTACGTGGACAAATGCCTCTTACACTTTACCTATAACTAATCTCTATTTTGAAGGAAAATTTGATAGGATATAGACTCTTCAGTCTGTCTTTCCTGAGCTTTTTGAGATATATAAAATACTGTCGGTCCCCACAGAGACAAGAAGCACCAGTGGTCTAGTGGTAGAATAGTACCCTGCCACGGTACAGACCCGGGTTCGATTCCCGGCTGGTGCAACTTTTTGAAGTTTTATGGATTTCTTTTCCTAATATTTTATACTCTTTTCCGTCAATTTTTTTCATTAATTTGGCCAAGAACAAGATTATTATTTTTAAAACCCACTTTATGTTTGTTGGTTACCCCCGTTAACATAACATTCAAAACTTAAAAGCAACAAAATTTTAAGAGTTCAAAAGTCAACCACCTTGTCAATTACAAGCTGTCACAAAAGAAAGGAAAAAAGGAACTGAAATCTGAAAGATGGCAAAAGAAATCAGAATTCCAAGAGTAAAACTAGCCAACCAAGGGCTTGAGGTGAGATCCATTTCTGATTCTTTTAACGCCTATTTTAGTTTTCTCAGTAAAATAAATAGTTTTTGAAAAAATTTGCACTTTAAATACTATATTGGGATAAAAGTAAAAATATCTTTCTAATTTCTTAAACACCCATTTTAGTTATCTGAACAAAATTTCTATTTTTTCCGTACAAAAATCAGTACTTTTTATAAGATCTGAACAATGTAACTTGGTTGCACTGAAGTTAAGAGTTTAGTGTAATATGTAAGTTAGAAATGTTTGATAAGTAGAACATGTGAATCATTCTTATAGTTTTACTTGAGAAATTTTGGCGCTTCAAAGATCAGGTTTAATTGGGATTTCAACCTAACCTTCATAACCTATATTTTCGTGTTGGTAATTTCTTTACGTCAATTTAACCATTAAAGATAGTCAACTTCTCTCTTCAGAAAATAATGGTCTATCACTTTGAGATTGTTAACCTCTTAGTATGATATCTTTAAAATTTAAATAAGTGGAATTTTTTTTTGAACCGAAAAAGAGAGGGATTTTAAAGATGAAAATAGTCTGCTGAGTGATTATTAATTTTTTTACATCAATTGTGGATCTCTTTTCAGCCAATCTCGAGAACCTAGTTAATCACCAAGGACAAAAAAAAGATTTTCTTGACTCTTGCATTCTCTATGTGGCAATGTTGGCAAAAGAAATGACTGCAATTATGTTTACGAATATATTATTTATTGTCAATTAGGTCTATAGAAACATATATTGTAGAAGACGATAGATAATACATTTAATTGAAAGCATTGAACATTCAAGTTATCATCTTTAAAGAATTTATAAATGAATTGTTAGTGACAAAGAGGCCTTGTTTCTATGATCTACTACGGTTGAAACTTTAATCATTCCGATTCCGTTGAAAAGATGGTAAAAGTGAACTTCTCTGAGTCCCTAATGAATGATACAGATGCTTTGGCACCCAACTTTGATCTCTGAGTCCCTAATGAATGAGAAAGATGCTTTGGCACCCAACTTGAAGAATTTAGAAATGAATTGTTAGAGCCAGAAGATGCCTTATTTCTATGATCTCTTATGATTGAAACCTTAATCATTCCGGTTTAGTTGGAAAGAGGGCAAAAATGAACTTTCCTGATTCCCTAATGAATGATAAAGATGCTTTGGCACCCAACTTTTATGTTATAGTTTTCTTCATAAAACAAAAAAGGACACTTGATGAGCTGTTTGTCTCGTTTCCTCATCAATGTAATTGCCAATTTTATTTGCTTTACAGGTCTCAAAGTTGAGGTTTGGATGTACGGGTCTAACTGGAGTCTGCAACTCTCCGGTGGGAATCACTTTCTTTGATACAGCTGACGTATATGGACTACAACAAATGAAGTTCTTGTTGGAAGGTACATACTGTCACTAGCAAAATTTGTTGTTAAGGGACTGACAAGATGTCTATCTAGGATCGAGAGAAAAAATCATATAAATAAATTCACTGCTCAGTACCTATAGAGGAAACTCTAAGTAACTCTCTTCCTTCCTCAGCAGAATAGCAGATGTTAGAATTTTCTGTAATTCTTTTACTTATCTCTTTGGTGTTTTCTTTAAATATAGATGAGTGAAATGAAGAAAATGGGGGAAGAATGAAAGATCAAATACATTGGGTTATCTGAAGCAAGTCTGGACACAATAAAGAGGGCAAATGCAGTTCATCCTTAATGAATTGTAGAGATATTTCTCACGCACAATAAGGAGGGCACATGTTAGCTTTATTCAGATATACAGATATTTCCCATTTCGCTTAGTGGATGTAATAAACTACGAGAGTGATGTTTCTTGAGTGGCTGCTCTATAGGTATATATATTATGCTATCCCGCTGCTTGATGTTTTAATCTTTTTTAGGTACTGCAAAAGACACAGCTTTGAGCACAGAGTAATGGCAGGTAGCGTCTCCCTTTATCAATAACAAATTATGCTGATTCAAAAGTCATAAACCGAACTATATAGGAAAGTCAACATTTGGAAGAATAATATTCAGGTATTAGAGTGCTTTCTGAACCTTGGTTTGTGAATATTATCACTTTGATTGTTTGTTTTTGCCTTTTATTGTTGGTTGATATGCTTAATACTGGTATCTAGTTCTTTTCCTTCTCGAGTGCTTCTTGATGCCTTGTCACCAGCAATTCTGTGGATGGCTCTATTTTTTTTGCAAGTAGTGGGCGAGTTGGATGTTCCTCATTTTGGTTTGTTCGTCCATTGTCTTTTTTTCCTTTCGTGAAGTCCCATAAATCCTCTTCTACGATGAGCTTTTCTATTTAACTTTTTAGCTAATAAACATTCTTTTTATCTGCTATGAAGTGGCCATGAGCTTTGCAAAACCAGCATTTTCCTTGGGTGTCCCTTTTAGTAGGAGCAGATTTTAAGAGCCATTTGATAAATGGTCGATCTTGGATCTGCATGAGAACGTTTAACCAAGGGAGTGAAGTTGGTATCCCTGGAGAATATTGTTGAATCTCATTTTCTTCAATTTCTTCTCTGTGATCTTCGATTTTACTCTCCTCTTTGTTCTCCTTTTTGCAGCTTCCTTTTTCTGCGTCCACAAGCACAATGAAGATCGAGAAGCTGAATGAGAATGCTGGTTTTGTCCGCGTAGAACTTACGGAAGGAGACCTGAAAGAAGTTTCTGATGCTGTACCTGCTGACAACGTACCTGGTGCTAATACTTATAAGAGCTTTCTTCGCCTTTCATGGAAGTATGCAGACACACCACCAAAGGATTCTAAGACCTCGGCTTAATTAAGAAGTAATTGCTGCCTATTTTACTCGGAGAATGTAATGATTTGAGTTTTGAGTATGAATTTTGAGAGCATGTAATAATCTGTGCAGTATAATCCACATTGCCTGGTAAATTTATGAACAACGAAATTAAAATTGCAGAAAAAATAATATATATATACAATAATGACTTTAAAAAGTTAATAATTTTGTGTAAAATAAAATAAATAAATAATTAGAACATTTAAATTATAATAAACAAAAAACGTGAGAGGCGAAATGTTCTGCAGGGTGGTGAACGAACAGTCACCCTGTGTCACTTTCAGCCCTCATTAAATCTGGATATTATACTGTGGTAAACAAGATCTGGATTCCTTATTTCTTTTTTTTTTTTTGAATCAAAAGAAATCTTGACAGTCAATCATCATTTTGAACTCTCGTTAAATGCAGCTTCAACGAACAAGAGTTGCAGAGCTTTGAAACGCCGAGTGAAACGAAGAAAAAGAGAAGGAGAACTGAAACCTGAAGATGGCAGAAGAAGATAAGAAAGCTCAAATTCCGAAGGTGAAATTGGGCAACCAAGGACTTGAGGTAAAGAAAAAAAAGAACCCATTTCAATTTTCTCAAATCAAACGTGGTCTTCTTTGGTTATTCAAATCAATGCTTTGAAGCTTTTTGTGGGATTTAGGTTTTCTTGCCGCAGTCAAAAATTATAATTTGAATCTCTATCTTAAATTAGTACTCGAATAACTGCGGAGTTAAAACCCTTTTGTTAATTGGGATATTGCTCTTAACTTACATGCCCTTGTCTTTAGGCTGTTTTGAGGAAGATGCCCTTATCTTTAGGTTACTGACAAGTAAGTTCCTCTATGTAAATAGATGGTTGAACCTTGATGGAAGACAAGGATTGACTCTATACAAAAATAGCTATATTGAACCTTCAAGTTTTAATCTTTTAAGACTCTGGAAATAAACTTTTATTGGTTATGAAAATGATAAATGATTCTTGGTTACCAAACTTAATCCAGTTCCTAATTTTCTATTACCTATAATCTATGAGAAAACGTTTGTTGATTGCTGTATTTACTCCCTGTACTTCACAATTTTTTGCTCGCTAGGTCTCGAAATTAGGGTTCGGATGTATGCGTCTGTCAGGAATCAAGAGTATGTTCCCAGGACAACCTGGGTATGCAACTGTATCTGATGATGACGGAATTATGGTGATAAAGGAAGCCTTTAATATGGGAATCACTTTCTTTGATACAGCTGATATATATGGACCACACACAAATGAAATCCTTCTTGGAAAGGTACATTCTACTGCTAGTACTTCTTAGTTTCTGAAAAAAATAAGTTCAAAATTTCGAATCCTTGCTGCCAATCTGTGCTTAATCCATGCTTTCGACCGAAACGGGTGTATGCTAAGGGGACATGTTAGCGTTTTAAGTTAACTTGGTTTCTTAGTGATGCGGAACTCAGAATAAACCAATGTGATCAAAAACCCGGCTCGAATCACTCAGCCTGATGAATTTGATTGTTAAATTTTTGTCATTTTGACCTGAAGAAAATGCATACCTTTCAGGCCTTGAAGCAATTACCAAGAGAGAAAATTCAAGTAGCCACAAAGTTTGGCTTTGTAAGTGGTATAACTGTGAGGGGTGATCCTGAATATGTGCGCGTCTCTTGCGAGGCTAGCTTGCAGCGCCTTGGTGTTGACTACATTGATCTATACTACCAACATCGAGTAGACACATCGATTCCTATAGAGGAAACTGTGAGTAATTTTTCTCCATTTTTTAACAGGATAACTTCATTTGCTATCTTCTGTAAGACTTCCTGACGTCGTTAACTTATGTTTTGAAGATGAGTGAATTGAAGAAACTGGTGGAAGAGGGAAAAATCAAGTATGTTGGATTGTCTGAGGCCAGCCCTGACACGATAAGGAGAGCACATGCTGTTCATCCTATCACTGCTGTTCAAATGGAGTGGTCTCTTTGGTCCCGAGACATCGAAGAAGAGATTGTCCCGCTTTGCAGGTTTAGTTAAAATTCTAATTGGATTTTTTGTTAAATTTGCATAAGCACCTTGACATACAAAATTTTGTTAAGGACAATTGGAAGGACAAGCATTTGTCTGTAATTTTCTAAGCATGTATTAGTTCAGAAATCAGAAAAGCCGGCTGTATTGCAGGGAGCTTGGCATCGGAATAGTTCCGTACTGTCCTCTGGGACGCGGTTTCTTCGCTGGAGTAGGCGTTGATTCACCTGCAACTGGCTTGTTGGTATGTTTCTTGTCAAATTCTTTACCTTCTTTTCGTTCATAAGACAACAGAGTTTTTCATTATGTTTGGGAAGGTAAAGTGTTAGTGTGCTAACAACCAGGTGTTTTTTTTTTTAACTTTTTCGTTAGGCCTCGCATCCTCGTTTTCAAAAAGAGAACTTGGAGAAGAACAAGAGTATTTATATTCGCATACAAGAACTCGCTAAGAATCATGAATGCTCTCCTTCTCAACTAGCTCTAGCCTGGCTTCTCCATCAGAGGGATGATGTGGTGCCTATTTTTGGTGAGTAGTGTCATTTTTCTCTTTGTCAAAGTAAATTACTTTACAGTTTCATATATAAAAATATGTATCTACATTTTATAGTTTTAGTTGTGAACTTGTGAAATGCCATCACCTATGGAATGGGTAAAAGTTTTTATTAGATACAGGTCAAGCCTGGTACTTATCACTGGCCTTGGATCTCTACAGGGACAACCAAATTGAAGAACATGGAAGAGAATATTGTCTCGGTTCGGATTAAGCTTACAGAAGACGAACAGAAAGAAATTTCGGATGCTGTACCTCTCCATGAGGTGGCTGGTGGAAGATCTTACGCAAGTGTGGATCGTCTGTCGTGGAAGTTTGCCAACACTCCTCCAAAAGGTTCTGTTTCCTCAACTTGATCAAGCCATACGAAAAGATACATTTCTTCATCGCTGGTGTCACGTTAAAAAATAAGTTGCACTAAGTTTTAAAAAAAAAAAAAATTCATACCAAGTAAAATTAGTAGCTGAATTGAAGCTACATTATTGAAGCTTTTATGTCTGTGATGTCTGATCAAGCAAAAACAGAGAGAGAGAGAGAGAGACAGAGAAGAGAATTCCTGTAGCACAATCAAATTTATGGCATAGGAAATCATCAGCAAGTGATAAGAAGCACTAAATTATCATATACCATAGTATTCTATATATAGTACAATATAGCAATGGAATTCATGTCTCCTTTATAATAAAATATAATAAAACTAAATTATATAAGCTCTGAAGTTCTTAACTTTTGTATTAACATTTGGGATTAAGCAGACTATAGTCCACCATTAAGAAGCATTACAGGCTCCAGGCGTAGTATAGCTTGATCCTCGCGTAGGTTGATGAGCTCCTTCTCGGGCAATGTCACTGTTACTGTCCGGGCAAGGCCTCCTTCAGGCGAAGGCATCACCATGATCAACCCTTCACCTTCTGCATTCCCCACATGATATGTCACGTGAACAGGCTTGTTATCGCCATCAAAAATGGCAGAATACATCAAGGGTGGATCACCATTGATGATCGTATGCTCCATGCTAACACAGGTCAGTTCAGGTCCATACATTCTGCAGGGTGATTCGTACTTCCCTCCCTCACCCTTCTGTGACTCCAGCCAATCTATGGCCGACAGAATCTCTTCATCCTTAAGTCCCGACACATGTCTGTGAATCAATCCGGCCAAGCATCCCAATCTGGAAAACTCCATGTCCTCCTCGTTCACTGACAAAGCTGAAAAATGCAAGGCATTGCCGAAGTAACCATAAGGAAGCTGTGGATCCTGCAGTCGTCTCCTGAAGTCTGTACAGATTGAGAGAAAATGTTGATGATGATCGTTATGTTTTTGACCCTTTAGACTCGCTATACGTGTCCAGAAAAGCGCAGCCAGAAAATCAAAGGGAGTGGCGTCGGAGAAGCTTTCATGTATTTCTGCTAAACATTGGTCGATTGTCGAATTGGAGAACTTGAAGGTGGCTGCGGCCATTATGGGTGAAGTTTTTGGTTTCGACTTGGTTGCATAGTAAGGAGAAGCTGGTTTGTGATTGGCGGTGGTTGTCGGGGTGGTACGAGCATGGAGTGGCCGCGAGAAGGAAGGAGGGTGAGCCACGGGCTGGCCGCGGTGACCCTCCGTCCATGATTTGAATAGAATGGTTAATGTGGTTGGATCTGCATGCATATGGCTGCAGCTTATTCCTAGAGCTACACCTCCTCCCTCGAATTCATTAACCTGAGAAACATCGGATATACATTTCAATAATTAGATGAAAATTATACCTACTATGATATAATCGATAATATCATAATCTTTTTATGAAAACATACAAGATATACGGTCTGATTTAAATTTATATTTTTATTAAAAAAATAAAAATATTAATTATTGACCACCTAACTAAATCTTTTATTTTATTTTAATTTTTGTGTTTTAATTATTCAATTATTTATCTGTCAGCATATATATATATATATGTGTGTGTATCTAATTGGCTGCAGCACCAGTTCCCTCACCTCATATTTTATCACTAATGTCAACTGGCTTATTTATTGGTGAGGCAACGGTATGTACCTAACTGAAAATAGATGTCACAAAATTGGATTTTTCAATGTTTTCATGTTATGAAAATCATTATTATACATATATATATATATTTTTAAATGAATATTTTCATACATATATACATACAGAATTAAATACGTTACCATTTTAACGAAATCTAATAATAAATGATATGAAATCTATTCCAAAAAGAGAGGGCATTATTAAATAAATCATTTAATTAAAGTAAATAAATAATCCTATGTTTCGACCGTATTATAAAATACCTGAATCCGAAACGGCGACCATCCACTAGGATCCTCCGGCATATCCTCCCACACCGTCAGATCTCTTTCCCGAACCCCATCAGCTGATCTCAACCACTCATCAACTGTAACACTCACCTTCGCTCTTAAAATCCGAACACCCGCATCATTACACTTCACGACCCAGTTCCCATTCTCTCCCCGGGTCAACCGGCCCGTAATCGGATGGTAAAACGACAGCACCTCCGACAAACACTCCCGCAACGGATCCAAATCAAAAGCCTTAAACGGGTTTCTCTCGTAGTAGAACACCGCATGGAGAGAATGCGAACCTAACGCGTGATCCAAAGCAGAAAATTGGTGGGTCTTACCCGGCCCGACTGGCTTGCTGGATACCGCCGTTAATATCGAATGGACATTGACCCAACTCCGATTGCCGCACATCTTTCCGGCCCGGAAATGGAAGAAGAATGGGGAAAATGCGAACACTCTATTTGCACTACGAGGAGGACTAAAGCCGGGTTTCTTGTGTGTCGATAAAGTGTATGGAGAGTGTGTTTATATAGGCGGCGTAAGTTTGTTGTGTGAATTTAAGAAGGGGAAAGGAAGTTCGTTGGGTCTCCATTAATGCAGTCCGGGAAGAGTAGTGGGTGGTGGCCGGTGCCCTCCGTTGGATTGCAGTGACAGGAGTTAAAAAGGAGATAGTGTAATCCGGGTCGTATTTAATTAAGAATATTTTAATTTAAATAATTATTTTAATTAAAAAAAATTAATCACCCCAAACATCTCATTGCATAATTAATATATTACGCACTAATACATTAATAAATTAAATTTTAAATTCCGTTAAATTAATTATTATAAGTTAACTATCCTCGTCTTATCATATATTTATCGTTAAATAATTATATAATAATATATTAATAAATTAAATTTTAAATTTTATTAAATTATAAATGATTTTTAAATTCGAAAATTCGAACGTGGCATTAAAAATTTTAATTTAGAAGTATCTTTTGACGCTCAAAAAAATCATTTATACAAAATTTCAAACCAATCTTATCAAATGTCAAAGAAAATCATGTTGTGCAATAACGTGTCGATAAGTAGACGGAAGTTAAATGCAAACATTAAATGATATTATTGAATTTATGAAACTATTTCACGAGCATGGTTTTGATATAAATATTTTGGGTATTTATATATATTATATTTATTTATTTTATTTTACGTTTATATTTCTTAAATTCAATAAGTATATAATACTTGTAACATTTAAATAGATTATGTCAAGTTATAATAAAATATTTTGATTAATTTCTTAATCTAATCAAACGTGAACTATAGAATAAAGATTCGAATATAGTTTACATCAAGAAAATTGTGAACCTAATTT